CCAATGTCGCTAGTAAAGCCAGCCAGGCCTCAGTGGGGTGTCACGTGAGTACAGATCTCTGGGGACACCTCATTATCCTGCCTTAATGGCGCTGTGCCCCAGACTGCGAGATCCTCTTAGCACGGCGAGCTCTCCCACACTTCCCGTTGGTCTAACAGAACCAGCATGTTCACCACCAGCCCCAGGTCGTAATTGCAAAATTGGCAAACCTATTAATCACAGCTTTATGGTCCTGTGGCACTTGAGGGTGAGATTGCAGAGCATCGTGGGGGTCACAGACAGGGCAACCCTCACGCACTTCCTTAAAGATGCAGCGCGAAGGTGCAGCTGCTGGCTCCCCAGGTTCACCTGTAGAGGCAGCTGGAGGCCCAGAGCCTTGCCCTCTGTCCCTGCCCTGACGTTCGGCGTTCATCTGTGCACCCGGCGGGGGCCCAGCAGGTGTATGATGACGACAGGGTTTCTACTTGGCAAAGACTGGTTAAACTGCAGTACTCACTCTCTCTTCTTGTGGTAACAGAACCTGGTCCTTGCCAACACACTGCACCTTTTGTCTCTGTGTGGCCTGTGTGGTCATGTAGCCAATTTATGTGCAATGAGGTGTGGGTGGCAGTGGGTGTGGCACCTCCAGGAAGCTTATATAGAGAGGAAGGGCTCTTTTTCTCACCCCTGTGCTTCTGCCTTCCTGCTAGCTGGAACAGGGGCATGATGGCTAGAGCTTGTGCAGCCAACTGGGACCATGAGGTGGAACATTAAGATGACAGAGTAGCAGATTAGGAAGTAAAAAACAAACAAATAAACAAACCTGGAGTCTCTGGTGACTGGGGAGGAACCTCCTGCCCCCTGTGAGCTTTTACATGAGTGAAAAGTAAACAGATGGAGTAGAAGCCGCGTCGTGCTGTTTGTTAAAGCAGCCACACCTCATCCCAAGGGCACGCAGGGCCCAGGATGAAAACAAACGCAGCGTGCACTTGTGTGTGTGGTGCCGGGTCTGGCTCAGCAGGCCAAAGAGGAGTGACCAGGGGAAACCGAGAGAACTGTCCTGGCTGATGGCTGTGCTGCAGTTGTGGCATTTGGCCATGGGTGGGTGCTTACAGCGCGTGTGACTGGGTGAGAGGGACTCCTGGACTTGAGAGAGTCTGTCCGGGGTGCACAGGACTCGGTTTGCCCCACTCAGGAGTCACCATAAATAGCTTTAACAGAGACCATCACCTGAGCACTTTTCTGGCCTTAATCTTTTTTTTTTTTTTTTTTTTTTTTTTTAGATTTTTGCCATAGGGCATGGGTACTCGCCAGGGAAATGGCCAGTTTGAGGGAAAATGAGAAATCAGCCCCCAGGGGGGATGTCATACCACCCTTCTCCTCTCTGTACATGTGGGGACTGCTTCAGAATACCATATTTTCTGCTTTCTTTCAGGATAACAGATTAAAAAACTGGCTCCAGCATCCTGCTCCGGCGTTTGCAGGGTCCTGCTCAGTACAAGGGGCTCACTGCGGCTGAGCACACACCTACCCTGTCAGTTCCTCCGCAGGTCAGTGGAAGCATGGTGGGCTGGGCCTCCCCTCTCTCCTGCTGACTGAGGGAGGGCACAGCCTGGGTAATGCCTGGCAGGCCAAGGTAGACAGGGCTGGGTCCCTGACACACAGGCACAAAGCAACTGCTGTTTATTCTTTTTTCTAATATATTTATTAGATTTTATTTATTATTATTATTATTTTTTAATCTGACCAGAGAGAGACACACACAGAGAGAGAAAGGGGGAAAGTGAGAAAGCAAGCCACCAGGTTCAGGACTCGAACCGTGGCCAGCCACGTGGGAGTACAGCACCTCTGCTCCGGCGTTTGCAGGGTCCTGCTCAGTACAAGGGGCTCACTGCGGCTGAGCACACACCTACCCTGTCAGTTCCTCCGCAGGTCAGTGGAAGCATGGTGGGCTGGGCCTCCCCTCTCTCCTGCTGACTGAGGGAGGGCACAGCCTGGGTAATGCCTGGCAGGCCAAGGTAGACAGGGCTGGGTCCCTGACACACAGGCACAAAGCAACTGCTGTTTATTCTTTTTTCTAATATATTTATTAGATTTTATTTATTATTATTATTATTTTTTAATCTGACCAGAGAGAGACACACACAGAGAGAGAAAGGGGGAAAGTGAGAAAGCAAGCCACCAGGTTCAGGACTCGAACCGTGGCCAGCCACGTGGGAGTCCAGCACCTCAACCACCATGCCACCCACTGGCCCCTGCTTTTTCTAAACTGTTATGTATGATTTCAGCTTTCTCTTACGGATGAACGCCACCCTAACCAGGACGGGACTGAAGTTTCTCAGCGGCATCGTTTACTTTTTGCCGAATGCCTGAGGAAGACAGACGACCTGTTTGAAGGCTTGAAGGCTGGGTGGGAGCATGGACCAGAGACTGAGGTGATGGGAGGGGACTTCTGCCTGGCACTCTGCTGCTCCCCACACAGGACAGGACAATCCCCCAATGTCCTTGAGTGCTCTGAAGGGATAGACTTTCGGTAGGAGGTGGCAACGGCAAGAAAACATTCACGAACAGAAGGGACTAACAATTCAATCAGATCATGGCTGGGAGACAGTAAGTCTGATCGATCTGTCTGAAATGGGGTCTGAAAAGATAGACTAAAAGAGAGAGCAGAGAGGAGAGGGAGCCCTCACTGGTCACTGAGCAGTGACCCACACCTCGGCCCCGACCCTCAGTGTCCACTCCAGGCTGGTGCCTGTGACATTCCTGCCACAGACCGATCTCCCACACAACCTGCAGCAACCCGGGACACTTACTTAAACTCAGAAGCGTTTTTGAGGTGCACAACCTAATCCTTGGTCCTGGGAGGATCCACTTGGAGATCTAGCTGATGACTCTCTGTTGTTATGGTAACCACCACCACCGCCACCACTGAGGAACCCGGAGACAAGCTGGTGATGCCAGCAGGACTGTGCCATCGGAGAGCCACGCTGCTCAAAGGTGCCAGATTCCAGGTGTTTAGGGTCCAAGCCCAGTATTTACTACAAAAAGAGAAGCCCTTTCCTCTGCGTTTCTTCGAAGGCCATTTCTTTTTCACCTGGAGCATCTGCAGATGGTCATGGCAACTGGAAACAAGTTGGAGTGTGGTGCCCACGAGTGAGCCGCTGCCAGGCAGGTCCCCTGAGTGGGGTGTGGGACAGACACTTAGGGACCCTGTGTCCAGTGGGGCCATGCTGCTGGCAGGAGGTGCTCACGTCGCAACGACAATCAAAATGCAGTCTCGGCCGTGGAGTCTGCCCCATGGGAGGGTGTTAAGCGAGTCTTGCATTCCCGGGGCCTGGTTTCAATCGAGACCTCGTTACTTGGCTCTGAAAATCTCTCCAAGTGAAAGGCGTGGCGCCGAGTGGGTATTTTTACAGAGAAATATGAGAAGCATTCTGCCGATGCGGTATAAAATTGCTTCTATAAACTGAGGTGAAGGCAGACAAAGGGGGAATGTAGCCAGGCCCCCTGTGGTCCGGCCGGACCTGAGGTACCTTCAGGCTTGACCAGCTTGGCTTCCCTGCACAAGGTGCCCGGGGTCCTCCTGCCCCCTTGGCCTTGGAGCCCCCCGAAAAGGAAAGAACTGGGGGCCCTCTTCCCCCCCCTTCCTCCTGCACAAGACGGCACTTCATATTCTTTTGTATGAAAAATAATTCATGAGCATGGTTTTTGCTGCCTTTCTTACGAATGTTATTTGGAGAAATCCTCATTTTATCAGAGAAAAGGTCCCCTCTCCTGCAAAGGCAGACCCACAGCCCTATTTGCTCTGTGATCGGGAGACCTGCAGTCGGTGCCCTGTCACCCCCGGCAGTGCCCAGGGTTCAGTGAGGGATAGGGGACGCCAGCTGTCAGCCCAGCCCAGGGGCTGCAGAAGGGTGCAGTTTCCACACCCAAAGTGCATGACCTTGCCCAGCAGGGCTTATTGAGCTTTCTGGCTCTTCTCCACAGGTCTAGAAGGATGGGGGATGCAGGGCTTCGGCAGGACCTATCCCAGGGGCATGGCCCCTCTCTCACCCTCCAGAGCAGTGCTCAGTTTGGTCCTTAACACAAATGGCCATCAAGGTTTTCCCCTCTTCCTGCATTAAGATGCAAAACATGTATTTACAACGTATCGAGTTATATGGGAGGATTTACTATCTCCGAGCACAATAAACTCCAGCGATTAAACTCTGATTCAACTCCAGAGCTTCAGCACCAGGCTGCCATGAACAATTCCAGGCTAATCTGTGGTTAAAGCCAAGCTTCACAGTCTACCAAACAGTTCTCACTTGTCTGAGCCTAGCAGCGGGCGGAGGGGAGGGCTTTGCCTGGGCACCTAAGCCACACCTCCATGCAGAAACACCAGCCAATCACACACAGACGTGGGACCAGTTGGAAAATTTGGCCAACACATGGGCCCAGTCAGGGCCACGGCTTTCCATAGACACGGTGGCTTGGGTGGTGGGATCGAAGGCAGCAGAAGTGATCAGGCATCATGTCTATGCTGACCATAGGCCTCCCAGCCTTGGTGGGTTTGCTGCTCCCCAGGCTTGGCCCTTGGACTGACAGACCCAGAAACGCAGCCCTGAGAGGATCCACTGGGGGCTGGGCCCCTGCCATGCTCGCTGCTGATGAACAAGATGGCCAGAGAGGCTGAGAGCAGTGGATGTGTGGCCTCAACCCACCCGGGCTCATTCCCCTGCGTAGGGTTTTTCCCGTACAAACACAGGTTGGGGCCATCCCTGTAGCTCTGATAGCTCCCACCTGCCTTTTAACATGATGCCATGGTGACCAGCCCAGCAGAGGGGGTCCTGCTTGCCCTCCCCCAGAGGCCTGCCCAGGCCTCAGCCCACTCCCCAGACTTCCTGTCTTTGCCAGGCCTGCTGCCCGGAGCTCTCAGGGGACCACTTATTTTCTTCGTGGCAGGTCTGGGCCCTTATTCTCTCATGCACCCATGACTGCTGTTGCCTCCCCTCACTGACCGGCCTGTTAACTCTACTCACCAGGCAGGCTGCAAGGGGTGTCTCTCTGGCCTTGGAAGGTGCTGGAATCCAGAGCTGGCTCCAGGCTTCCCTCGGGGCACGGCGAGTCAGCTGCAGCACGTCTGACAGTCGCTCTGGGCTCCTGCCTCCCAGATGTGGGGCTGGACAAGGGATAGGTGATGCACTCGAACCCACTATGGAAGACAGCAGCGTGAGTTTGACTGCTCATCCCCAACACCACACTGAGGGCTGGAGGGGAGCAGGACGGTCCAGGGCTGACCCAGGGGCTGCCTCAGAAGCCGAGAGGGGCCACAGAAGTATCAGATACTGAACTCTGAGCGAGCCATCCCTTGGAACAAACATTGAAGATTTCACTTGTCATAACCAGTCTTCAGGGGAAAAGGAAAAGGGAACGAATATGATCTCAATGAACTCAACGCTAACCCAACAGGTAGAAGCTTAACTTGAAAAGCATTTTTAAGGACCCTTAACTTCCTTCGCACATAATTAGCGAGAAATGGGAAGCTGATCTGTGCTCAGGCCTGGAGTATTTTCCCACAAAAGCTGCAAGTGAGCCCTGGGGATTAAGAGGGGATTAAGATGGGGCAGAAGACCCTGAGAGAGACCACCACGGACCTCGGACAGGTCTCTCAGCTCTGGGCATGGGCAAGCTTTATCATGACTGATCTGAAGAACAACTAGATGAAGATTAATGTACCGAGAGGAGACACACACTTCTTACTCCTGAATCCATGACATAATTTTTGAACATGATGAGGAAGGAGGGGATGGGAGGGAGAGCCAGTCAGGTCATCCCTGTCCCTGCTGCCCGACTCTCCATCCCAGCATTCCGTCTGGCTCCCCCTTTCCTCCTTGACCCTTGTCAACTGGCATTGCTTTTGTTTCTGTCTTCCCCATCGCTGGTCCAGGCAGCTCATGTCCAGCTGGTCACCGCTGTGTCCTGGCTTGTGGGGAGTGTGAGGGCAACGGGAGCAAGGGAGAGATGAGGGGAGTGCTCTGGGTAGAGAGGGCATTTTGGCTGATTCCTCCTCAAGTCTGGGGAGAGACCTCATGCCCCCACCCCACCCAGGGCACCTCTGGTGTCACCCCTACTCACAATGGGGTTGGGGTGGGCGCCACTCGGTTATCTTCATCCACTTTGAAAAAGCTGATCTTGGAGTAGGCTGGGAGCTGCACATATCTGACTCCTGCTGAGATCTTCAGAACCCGGCCGCTCTCACCTTTTAGAAGGGAAGAAAAGCAGGAAGCAAGCCCCTTAGACTGCAAGGAACTGCAGACGTGGCTTGGGTCTTACCTAGACCTGCCTAGGGGCAGGGGGCTCAGCGTGGGGGGTATTTGTGATGCGTTGTTCAGTTGTGGCCAGGACTTGGTGAGGGCCCACCTCATCCTCCTTTTGTCTCTCTAGTCTCTGCCTCTCTCCTCCTGGCCATGGACTCCTGATGCTGCCTACGCTCACCCTGACACGTCTGCCCCCCTCACCTCAAGTTCTATACCCTAAATCTCCAGTTCTGGGCCTCAGGGCACCCAGGCTCCATCTTTGCACTGGCCTGTCACCCGCACTCTCTGGATAGACTCCCCTTGCAGACCAGCCTCAGTGGGCTCACTTGCCATATACCCCAGTCCCAGGCAGGCCAGGTTGTGGGGGGCAGCACCCACAGTGAGCAGGTTCTGGGGCTCTCTCAGAGCCCTCATCCTGGCAGACACTGTTGATCCAGGGGTGGGATGGGCTCTGTCCCACACTGGGCACATGGCTGGCATACAGCTGGTGCCCACTAAAGGTGTGCTGAGAGGATGTACAGATGTCTTTAGAATCAGCTGTTCCAAGGCTATCTACCACTCCAGGCCCTGGGGCCCCTCGGGCTGCAGGCAGCTCCTGGAGGAGGACAATGCTCAAGGAGAGGTTACCACTGTCCCTTGGAGTCACTCAGCACTGGTGTGCTGGGCCCTGCTGGGGTAGGCGGAGGTGGTGGAGGCCTGGCAGAAAAGAATGATAAGCCATATGGGGGAAGTGGCCTGGGGATTGTGGGTGGAGGCAGGATGGCTGATGGAGAGGGCAAGGAGGATGACCAGCCCTGAGCTCCCGGAGCTGATGCTGGGCTTTGGGTCAGGCTTCTGGACTTACAGAGAAATTGGACAGTCACTGGGTTTCTGAATACTTAGCACAAAGAAGCAGGCCAGCAAGAACCACTGACCAGTATTTCTGTCTAAGCTTCGTGGTCTGCCCCTCCATGTCACTTTCAAAAAGGAGACATGTTGGCAAACACTGGAAGTAACTTTGATTTGAAAGAAAAGATACCAAATGTACTATTAAAAACCAATGCAGTCTGACCAACTTCTATATGAAGGTATTAATAGAATAACTGGGGCCAGCAGGTGGCAAGGTTATGCCGCTGGACTCTCACATGGTAGACTGCAGTTTGAGTCCTGGACCATGGCTTGAAAATCATGCCAGGCATACGTGTGTGTGTGCCGAAGACTCCAGGAGAAGAATGGAGGAGAAGGGACTGTGGTGTGGCCGTACTCCCTCGGGGGTGATTTCTCACCCTCCCTCTTACTGTCTCTGTCTCTCTCTCTCGCCAGAAGCACATGCGCCCTATGGCAAAAACCTCTAAAAAAAAAAAATAGAATAACTGTGACTGATTTACCCTCTACTTGAAACAACCAAAAATGAAAACAAAATGTAATAAATGTGATGAGTTTCAAGATCCTGGATATCAGGTAACCAAAGACAGTGACCTTTGACAGATGGAAAACAAATGGCGTGGACTCTACTACTGCCTAGGCTACTGCTCTGAGAGAATGTGTAGAACTGGGTGCAAGAGGACTGAGGCAGAGCTCAGAAAATCTCTCAGTGAGAAAAAGAGCGGTGGGTGAGCCGGTGGCATGGCGGTTAAGGTGGCTAGATTCCACATGGCTAACTATGTGGTTCAAGTCCCAGATCTGGTGGCTTGAGAAACATGCTGGGCACACATACATGAGTACCCAAAATCCTGGAAGGAGGAGAGATGGAGGAGAAGGGGTTGCAGCATGGCCATCTTCCATGCGTGGCTGGGGGTCGGAGGCGGGGAGAGGCTCTCTCACTTTCCCTCTCTCTCTTTTTCTGTCTGTTTCTCTCTGGTATAGGCACACGATCTCTAGTAAAATTTTAGAGAGAGAGAGGAAAGCTGAGAATCTGAGGGAAGAGACACACAGTGGGGTTTGAGAGTTCAAAGGACACAAGAGTAAAGCTGAGAGGGCTGCATAGAAAGGGGACCCTAGAGGTCTGCAGCGACCCCCAGAGGATTTAGCAAAGCTTCCATCAGCACGTGCACGCTGGGACAGTTCACGAGAGCCTGGGAAGAATCACCTGGGAGAATGTCAGGGGTCAGGGGTCAGGGGTCAGGGCCTGGGGCCCGTGCAGGACCCGGTAGTGCTTGTTCCCACCAGCCAGGCAGGGAAAGCTCTGAAGTCACAGGCACCTGGGCAGCGTTCTCAGAAGGGTCTTGCCTCAGTAAAGAGAAGTAACTGGTATTAGATGGAACTCTCCTCCAGATTCTGTCTAATAAATCATAAAAACAAGATCCAGAAAGATCAAACTGTCTCCAAGTAACTTAACTGTGCCCCACGACAAAACTCAAGAATATTTATAGGAATTCCAAAATATCCAGCGCCCAGCAAGGTAAAACTTACAATATCTGGCCTCCAATCAAAGATTACTAGGCATGCAAAGAATGCAGGAAAATGTGGTCCATAATGAGGAATAAAATCAGTCGATTGAGACCAATCCAGACTGGACGCAGATGTTAAAATTAGCAGTAAAGGATATTTAAAAAGTTGTTCTAACTGTTGTCCATGTATTCAAAAGTCAAGTAGAGACTCGAAGATATAAAAAAGAGCAAAGTTGAATTCCTAGAGATGAAAACTACAATACATAAACTAAAAGGTACATTGGCTATGACCCACGACAGACTGAACATTGCAGAAGATGTAAAGCCATCCAAAATGAGACAGTGAGAGAAGAAAAGAAGAAAAAAAGAAAAAAAGAAAAAGGAAAGAAAAAAAGAAGGAAGGAAGACAAACCAATGAATAGTGGGACAACATGGGAGAGGCTATGTCAGAGAAATTATCGAAAGAAATAATGGCTAAAAAATCCCCAAATTTGATAAAAACTATAAACCCAAAGATGTGAGACACTCAGTGACTCCTCGAACATAAGAACTACAAAGAAAATGACACTATATCACATAATCAAGTTGCTCAAACTTGATAAAGACAAAAGCAACCAAAGGAAAGGACAGGTTTGTACAGAGAAACAAAATAAGGATGACAGATTTTTTTTTTTTTTGGAGAGGTTTTTGCTATAGGGCGTGCGCACTCGCCAGAAAGACAGAGAGAGAGAGAGACAGAAAGCGAGAAATCACCCCCCATGCCACAATCCTTTCTCCTGTGTTCTCCTCTCAGAATCTTGGGCACACACGCACACGTGCCTGTCATGAGTTTAAGCCACTGGGTCTGGGACTCGAACCATGGTTGACTACATGGGAGTCCAGTGACATAGCCATTGTGCTGACTGCTGGTCCCATTTTTTTTTTTTTTTTTTAAAGAGAGAGTTTTGCTATTGGGCATGTGTGCTTGCTAGGGAGACAAAGAGTCAGAGAAATAGGAAGTGAGAAATCACAATTCAGGGGGGATGGCCATGCCGCAGTCCCTTCTCCATTTTCCTCTCAGGATTTTGGGCACACACACACACACATATGCACGCCTAGCGTGAGAGTCAAGCGTCTGGATCTGGGACTTGAACCTTAGTTGACCATATTGGAAGCCAGCAATATAACCATTATACCATCTGCTGGTCCTGACAGCAGATTTCTTACCAGAAACAATGCAAACAATAATATAGTTGGGGTGGGGAGGTGCAGGTGGTGTAGTGATTAAGGCACTGGACTTGACATGGCTGGCTGTGGTTCGAATCCTAGGCCTGGCAGCTCCTCACTTTCTCCCTCTCTGTCTCTCTGGTGACCATACAAACCCTATAGCAAAAATCTCTCTCTAAAAAAAAAAGACAGTGGAGCAACATCATTTAAATACTGAAGAATAAAAATGGTGTTCTTATCTGGGGAAAATAATCATTGAAATGAAAGTAAGATCAAGATGTTTCTGTATTTGGAGAAGGTGCTAGACTCCCACATGGCTGACCTCAGTTCAAGTCCCAGACCTGACAGTTTGAAACTGATGCTGGGTCCTTGTGCATGCCCAAAATCCCGAGAAGAGAATGGAGAAGGGATTGCAGCGTGGCCATCCCTCCTGGCAGGTGATTTCTCACTTTCCGTGTCTCTGTCTCTCTGGCAAGTTGGGTGTGGTGACACCTGCCCTACGGCAAAAACCAGTGGAGGCTGGAGGATTGCGGCATTGAGTCCACCATCACTCTCTTTCTGTCTCTCTGGCGAGTGAACATGCCCTCAAAGCAAATCTCTCTCTCTAAAAAAAAAAAAAAGAGAGAGAGAGAGAGTGAGGGAGGGAGGGGGAGAGAGAGAGAGGGAGAGAAAGAAATCAATGAATCAAAGCTCATTAAAGAAAAAATAGCTAACTTGAATAGCTTTATATATGAAGAATTCCAAAAAAGTTGCAGTAAAATGGAATTAAGGTATGAGTTTATGTTGGTGCAAAAATTTTTGAAATCCATGTATAGTTGTTATTATTATTATTAAGTTTACAGAGGGCATGTGTGCCCACCAGAGAGAGAAGTTGAGGATAGAAAGCATCCCCCAGTGGGGCATAGTCATGCCACAATCCCTTCTCCATTTCTCCAGCCTGTCTGGGATTGGGGGTATGTACACAGACTCACACAGACACACACACACACACACACACACACACACACACACACACACACACGGCATGTTTTTCAAGCCACTGAGGCCAAAATTTGAACTGACCCTGGTCAGTCATGTAGGATCCAGCTTTCCTTAACCACCAGGTTATAGGGCCAGCCCTAGTTGTTTTTTTTTTTTTTTTTTAAAGAGATGTTTGCTGTAGGGTACACACACTCACCGGAGAGACAGAGAGATAGAAAGTGAGAAATCACTCCTCCAGGGGGGATGGCCACAATGCATCTCTTCTTCACTTCCTCTTAGGACTTTGGGCACACATGCACATGTGCCCAGTGTGAGTTTCAAGCCACCAGGTCTGGGACTCAAACCACAGTTAGCCATGTAGGAGTCCAGCAATGTAACCATTATGC